TTCAGCCTCACAGCTCTGGTTCAGACTGCGCTGGATCCAGGCGAGGGGGAGTCACGCGCCGGGGCCACCCCTGCATGTCCTGCTGTCCGCACACCGGATGCTGCCTTGTGCTGAATCTGATGACCAGCGCCTCCTCTTTACCCCGTTCCTAGCACGTGCATAGTCAAAGCAAGTCTCCGGTGTCTCCTGATTGTGCGGTTGGACAGGAAGGGGTCCCCGACTCTCCAGTCCTCTCAGCCAAGGACCTGGGGGCAGGGACCCCATGCTGACTTCTCTGTCCATCAAGGAGAACATAGCTGATCCCTCTGACCTCTCTGCTGTGTCGTGACAGTGCTGACATCCCCCTATATGAGGGGTACGCAAACTCCAGGAGACTCACTTTCTGGGTCTGGGTCTGTTATCTCCTCCAGATGAGCTACCATGTATTTATTCAATAAACAGTAACGGAATGCTTCTTATGTGTCCTGGGGTTCTTCAGGTACATAACTCAGTTAATCCTCACCACCCCTAGGGGGAGGGCCTATTGGTCTACCCATTTTACAGATGTGGAGACTGAGGAAGGGTGAGCCACATGGGACAACTAGAAGCAGTAGATCAGGATTTAATTGCTGTCAGAGTCAGTCCCTCTCCAGGCAGGGTATCCTCCTCTGTTAATGGCATAACGATGCCTTCCTGTCAGGAGCACACGTAAAAGAAACATATCACAACCAGTGCTGGGATGGGAATCGAACTGCTGAACTTCTTGCCCTGGCTCCCCCACTGCCTGCTGTCTAGTCCCTGCCTTCTCTGGGCCCCAGTATTTTCATCAGTAAACACGTAGATGCTATTCCAGATCAGGGGTCAGAATACTACAGCCTTGGGACCGAATCTGGACACTTTGCTAAAGACTTATAGGAACAGAGCCACACCTCTTCACTCATATATCATCCGTGGCCACCTTAGCCCTGCGGTGGCACAGATGAATACTTGTGATAACCTAAAGCATCGTGGCTCAGAGGTTAAAGCATCTGCCTGCAATGCCGGAGCCCTGGGTTCAATCCCTGGGTTCGATCCCTGGGTCAGGAAGACCTCCTGGAGAAGGAAATGGCAACCCAGTCCAGTATTCTTACCTGGAGAATCCCATGGCGGGGAAGCCTGGTGGGCTACAGTTCACAGGGTCGCAAAGAGTAGGACACGACTGAACGACTTAACTTTCAACTTTCAAAGCATTTACTCTCTAGCCCTTAAAAGCTTCCCGCCCCGTCCTAGCAGATCTGGGAAGACTCGACTTTGTCCACAGCTATTTCCCCAGAGCCTAGAATAGGAAATCTAGTAAGTTTTCCCTTTTGTTGTTCAGTTACTAAGTCATGCCCAACTCTTTGTGACCCCATGGACTGCAGCATGCCAGGCTTCCCTGTCCTTCACTATCTCCCAGAGTTTGCTTACACTCATGTCCATTGAGTCGGTGATGCCATCAACCATCTCATCCTTTGTCACCCTCTTCTCCTCTTGCCCTCAATCTTTCCCAGCATCGGGGTCTTTTCCAAAGAGTCGGCTCTTGGCATCAGGTGGTCAAAGTATTGGAGCTTCAGCTTAAGCATCAGTCCTTCCAATAAATATTCAGAGTTGATTTCCTACAATTGACTGGTTGGATCTCCTTGCTGTCCAAGGGACTCTTCAAGTTTTCCTAGATGCTAGTTGAAAGAATGAATGACTGAATCCCAGAAGGCCCCGCCTGCTTTGATGGCTGATCATGGTTGGTGGAATGGGGTCACCTCAAGACCCATGACTCACAAGTCTTTGACCGTCATTAAGCAGATTGCCCAGTGACTGGTGGTCATACAGATGTGCCATTCGGCTCTGTCTTCAAGATGGAATTTGCTCAAGTAAAGACAAACATCATGATATTGCTTATATGTGGAAACTATAAAACAGTATAAATGAACTTATTTACAGAGCATAAATAGACTCACAGACATAAAAGACAAATCTATGTTTACCAAAGGGGAATTGGAAGAGAGGAGTTTGGGATTATTATTAACGTATACACACTAGTAGAGATAAAATACAGCACAGGGAACTCGACTCAATTAACCTATAGTGGAAAAGCAACTGAAAAAGATTAAATATATATATATGTATGTATGTATAACCAAATCACTCTGCCATACACCTAAAACTAACACAACATTGTAAATAAACTATATTTCAATTAAAAAAGAAGTAATTTTCAGTTCAGCTGCAAGAGTGATTCGGCTACTCAGCTCCACCAGGCATTTCTGGGCCAGTCCCCAGCCAATAAGTGATCTTAAGGCCAACAAGGTGTCTTAGGGCCTGGCCACTGGTGCCCGGCACAGGACATCTTAACATGCAGTATTTGTTCTGGAGCTCTGCGCTGGGCTAGTCAAGACTGTCAGACACTCTTAGGGGTCTGAGCGTCCCCCACCACACTTGTTTCTCCTCCCTTCATTTTTCACAGGTGTTACCTGAACTGCCACGCAGACCAATACCTCAGCAAGCATTTATCAAGCACCTACCGTATGAGGAACATTGGGCTAGGAGCTGGGGGTGGGGACCCATCTGTCTCAAGATGAACAGATCTGGCCATAGCCTTGAGAGATTGTCTGAAAGGTGGGACAGTCAACCCCCTTCCTCATTCCAGGTATCAAGTCCCACGGGTTCCAGTGTTCACAGACACGCAGAATATTCCAGCTGAGTGAGGTGTTTGGTAGCACTCCTGCTATTTGTAGAGGAAGAGACTCGTCCCAGACAGATGTTGAGGACGGATGTCCACCGCCCTTCTGGATTTGGAAGCAGCAGGAAGTAGGCACAAAATCATGTCAACGTAAATTGCAGCGTCAGGTTTATTGGAAGAGCTGATTGAGGAATGAGGCTTAGATGTGTGGCCAAACCGAAATCCCTAAGACTTCCTGCACAGAGTTAAATTCAACCACACAACCGCAGGCCTCTTTCCTCCCCAAAGGAAGGGCTGGGTGGTGCCCCCTTGGTTCCCCATTCCAAAGTCACCATCAGCTAAGTTACTCCTCTCTCCAAAGAAAAGACTGAGTCAGGGGCTGGCGGGGGGCCAGACTGTTGACCTCTCACTGGTTAATCCTGCAGAGGGGAGGGCCACTTGAGGAGAGCAGAGTTACAGAAGAGACTTGTCTCAGATCACAAGTGGGCTGTCGGCGGCAGAGTTGGAACGAGAAGGAAAAGAAAAACTGACCTTGTCGAGCACAACATATATTGAGAGACCTGGAGGGAGACAGCTCGGCCACACTGGAATCTGGAGAGAGGGCCATGAAGGGGCTGGTCACAGAATGTGGGCAAGACGAGGGGACCTGCAAAAGAGGATGAATTACCGCTCTTTAGGGCTGAAGCCATGAAATTAAAAGACGCTTGCTCCTTGGGAAAAAACCTATGACAAACCTAGGCAGTGTATTAAAAAGCAGACATTGCTTGGCCAACAAAGGTCTGTCTAGTCAAAGCTATGGCTTTTCCAGTAGTCATGTATGGATGTGAGAGCTGGACCATAAAGAAGGCTGAGTGCTGAAGAATTGATGCTTTTGAACTGTGGTGTTGAAGACTCTTGAGAGTCCCTTGGACTGCAAGGAGATCAAACCAGTGCATCCTAAAGGAAATTAGTCCTGAATATGCATTGGAAGGACTGGTGCTGAAGCTGAAGCTCCAATACTTTGGCCACCTGATGCAAAGAACTTGACTCATTGGAAAACACCCTTATGCTGGGAAAGATTGAAAGCAGGAGGAGAAGGGAACAACAGAGGACGAGATGGTTGGATGGCATCACCGACTTAATGGATGTGAGTTTGAGCAAGCTCCTTGAGTTGGTGAAGGACAGGGAAGCCTGGCGTGCTGCAGTCCATGAGGTCACAAAGAGTTGGACACAACTGAGCGACTGAACAACAAGAAGGGGCTAGAGCAGGACAGATGTGAAGAAAACTGTGCTCCTGGAGCCCAGTGGACTGCTGGAGCCTGGTGGAGGGGCTGCCTGGTGGGAATAGTTCTAGAGACTGGCCCCCTGGGTGCTAGCCATGAAGCAAGAAGGGACTGGGGAACAAATACTCCAGCCTGTCTCTGCTCCGACCCTCGGAGCTCCTACTGGCCCTCCCACTGGTTAATGCTACAGAGCAAGGGAACCTAGGAAATGAAGTCCAGGCACAGAGCAACAGGCAATGGGTCTGGAGCGTGCTGTGGGCATGGGAAGGAGACAAGATGACAAAAAGAAAAAAAAGAAAGAAAGTGAAGAGCTCAAAAGCTGACTACAGTGTGTGCTTTATGTACAGTTGTTTAGTCGCTAAGTCATGTCCAATTTTTTTTTTTGCGACTCCCAACGACTATAGGCTGCCAGGCTCCTCTGTCCATGGGATTTCCCAGGCTAGAATACTGGAGTGGGTTGCCATTTCCTTCTCCAGGGGATCTTCCCGACCCAGGGGTGGAGCTGGAGTCTCCTGCTCCCCACATGGATTCTTTACCACTGCGCCACTTGGGAAGAGGGTCAGTGTTTCATTTAATTCTCCCAGCACACTTGGAGGGAGGAGACAGCTGCTCTTTTATATGAAGAAGCTGAAGCTGAAGCTCAGAGAGATCTGGAAACGTGGACAAAGGATCACAGGAAAGGGTTGCTGAGGCCAATACTGGAATTTCCATCTCCAGAATCTTTCCTCTCTCTCACAGTAGACCCCACGGGGGGTCACCAGGCTTCCCAGGGCTCTGTCTGGGTCCCTGCCAGGCGGGGGAAAGGCTGGCTTTTCCTGACCGGCTGTTTCAACCGTTCTATAAATTCGCCCTGCGTTCGCTCCAAGTTTCACCGTGTTATTTGCCAATTCTGCAGCAAAGTGCGAGGCCGTGCTAATCAAGCCCAAAGGCCGCTGACTCCAAGCGCTTTCGGCCTCATTACTCAAGTGCACCCCTCACTGCGTTTCTCCAGACGTTCAGGTGCATCTGCTCAGCCCTGGGCCCGTGAGGCCTTCATAGGCGCCCCTCCAGGAGCGCTCGGATGAATGTACCAACGGACCGCGGCGAACCAGAGAGAGCGGGCTGGCTGGGAACAGGGCCCGTCCCTGACACCGAGGCTACAAAATCCTCTGCCGCCAGGGGGCGCAGTGAGGAGGGGCGGGAGGGACTCTGCTCGCAGCTTTGGCGCAGTGGGTGCTTCCTGCATTATTCCCCAGTGGGTGTGCACCTGCCCCGGGCCTGTGGGTGTAACGCCCCCAGGGAAGGCGCCGGGCCCAGAGCCGGGTCTTCACACCGCAGAGCAGATGATGAATGCCGCGGGCTCCCGCAGACAGGACCCAGGTTCCAACCCTGGCTTCCCTGCTCACTGGCTCTGTGACAGTGGACAAGGACGGACCTTTTAAGCCTTCTTTTCTAAATTTGTAAAACAAGTATCATAAACATGAACCAAAAAGACCAGTCCTTACCTCATGGGACTGGTAAAAAAAAAATATGAAATGATGTAAGAGTTGGAAAAGAGTTAACCCTCTATTTGGTATATAAAAAGCATGCAAGAAATGATACCTGAGGCTATTTTAATGAGCTGTGTGATGCTGGACAAGTTACTTACCCCCTCTGTGCTCCTGTTTCTTCATCTGTAACTGCAGATAAAATCGTGCCTACTTAATCAGTTTTCTTGTGCAGATTATATAAGACAACCCATGTGAGGCACTAGCAGAGAAGCCTGGCAGACAGTACGAAAGAAAAAAAAGAAGTGCTGGTAGTCATTCAGTCCTGCCCAACTCTCTGTGACCCCGTGGAGCCCACCAGGCTCCTCTGTCCTTGGGATTCTCCAGGCAAGAATACGGGAGTAGGTTGCCATTCTCTTCTCCAGGGGATCGTCCCAACCCAGAGATCAAACCTGGGTCTCCGTATTGCTGGCAGATTCTTTACTATCTGAGCTACCAGGGAAGCCAGTATAGATTCCCTAAATGCTAGCTCTCTGATCAGCAACCATTATCATCCTCAAAAGCAACACTGGTCTCTTTTTCCCCTGCACAACTCCTATTCATCCTGCAAGGGCCACCTCCTTCAGGAAGGCCTCCCGGATCTTGCTCTGGGATCTCAAAGAAGTTGCATAGCATTAACCTTCCCTCTATCATTGTATTCAGTGACCACCTCCTAGGCTGGTCTCCACCTACACGCTTCTTCCCTGGGGTCAGAGTCTGCTTCCTCTCCTCTCGCCTCCTGGTGCCTAAACAGAGCCCACCCCTCAATAAGCTTTCTACCATTGTGGAACAGATGAAGGGAATTAAACTGACCTAATAGGTGTTACCTGAAACTGAGTCAGAATATAAGTGGTAAGGGAAACAAAAGAGAAATACAAGAAAGATATAGGTACTTCCCTGGTGGCTCAGGGGATAAGAATCCACCTGCCAATGCAGGGAACGCAGGTTCAATCCCTGGTCTGGAAAGATTCCACATGCTGTGGAACAAGAAAGCCCGTGTGCCCCAACTATTGAAGCCTGTATGCACTAGAGCCCATGCTCCGCAACAAGAGAAGCCACCGCAATGAGAAGCCTGTGCACTGCAACTAGAGAGGAGTCCCCACTTTCCGTAGCTAGAGAAATCCCATGTGCAGCAACAAAGAGCCAGCACAGGCAAATAAATAAATACAGCAACAGTGTGCACATGTCAAAAAAAATTTTTTTTAAGAAAAAAGGAAAGATATAATCCCTGTTTACCAAGAGGTAAGATTCTGCGTGTGGAGAGAGATAAGCCAAAACTTGACAAAAGATTACTCTCCCCATTTTTCAGATTATGAAACTGAGGCTCCAAGAGTTTAGGCCACCTGCCCCAGATCACCCAGCAAGAAGTGGCAGGGCCTAATAGGAATGCAGGCTTGGGATGGCTTCCCTGCGGCCAAGCTGCATCGCTTCTTTTTTTCTACTTTTACCCTGTGGTTCCTTCTCAACCAACCCCAGCTAAGATGCATTTCACCAGCATTTCCTTCTGCCCACAGCCAAATTCCTGGGTCAGCCAGTCCCCAGGGCGCCTGCCCAGTTGATATCAAAGTCAGAGAGGAAATGTTTGATGTCTGGCAAATTGTGCATTGAAAGTCAAGGATTTCACCACATTTCACACTGTATGGAAAGCTGGAGAGTTCACACTGAACCAAGAATCCCACTTCCCTGCCTTCAGAGGACTTAAAATGTTTGCACATGTGTACACACATACACACACACACACACACAGAGGAAGAGAAAACAGGGAAATAAAAGAAGGTTGGGCCTTGGAGAATGTGCCCAGTGGGGGTTTCTCTGGCTGAAACTTCAGACCCTCCGTCACCCCCTCACTTGGTACTCACCCCTGGGATCATCACACTCCTGCCAGGGCAGCCTGGCCCCATCAGCAAGGTGCACACCAAATCCTTCTGTTGGTGTGTACCTTGGGAGGTCTAGATCCATGGGCCCCAGTGAGTTCTGCGTTCTCCCAAGCTCCTGGACGAGGCTGGTAATTCTGATCTATAGGATCTTACTGGCCCTGTGACCTTGGGCAAGTTGCCTGTCCTTACTTCTCAGTGTCCTCATCTATAAAATGGGCATAATGGCATGCATCTACTTCCCCAGACTGTGATGGGGTTAAATGAGAGACTATTGGGAAAGCACTTAGAAGAGTACAGCATGCTGTCAGTGCCTCATTTAAGGTCCATTAGATGATTAATTACCTCCCACCTCATTCTGGAGAAACCCACAACCCATTCACGGTCAGTGCTCTTGGCAAGAGGCATGTGCCTGTCTATTTTGTGGGCTATGGCCTTGGTTTCAGGCACAGTATGTGCCTGGGTTTTTGGAAGGCAGCACCCTGGTGTTCCTTGGCATGCAGGGTGGCAAAATCCTATTCATCAAGTCATCACTTGGGTGGCTTGGGGTGAAGTGCCTGCATAGCACTTACTGCTACTTGCAGGGACCTTGTTCGTGTATCTGTTCAGTCATTCCTTGTCTGTAAGCTCCACGGGTCTCAGGACAAGGACATTTCCACGGGTCTCAGGACAAGGACATTTCCCCAGTGCCGAGCACAAGACCTAGCAAATAGTGGGTCCATGTTTGCTGATGGACTGAGTGATCCTCTGAAAGGCACAGTGCCTTGGGGGAGGATTCGAACCCTCATCTATACTGGCTCCAATTCCACGGGATCATGTGACCTGCTAGACCAAGCTGGGATCCATACTAGGCCTCAGCTGGGGTCACCAACCCTGAAGAGGGAAATCAAAGCCTTGTAGGACAGTCACACCCAGGCTGGGAAACAGACCCTCTATTTCAAAGCCTGACTCAATGACCCAAAATTAGGGGAATCTAACAATTCCTCTAAGCTTCAGGTTTTTTTCATCTGAAATAAAATAGTATCTACTTAATTGGGTGTTTATGAAGACAAGGTATCATTGGGCTACTATCAGCCTATTAGGAGGGAAATCACACCAAGGTCATGGATTCCTGGAATCCCAGTCTTGGAAGATAAGCAGACATTGCTCACAAAGACAATGATGAACTTGAAATTAACATTTACTCCTGTGATCAGCAGGCTTCTTTCTCCAAGAGCTCAGACTGCTACCCATCCTTTTCTCCTGCTTCTGACACGCCCAGCCCAGGGTCTCAATCTCTCCCCACCTCTGTCCCCTACCCCAGGTTCCCTGGTCCTGACAAAAGGTGACTTTAGGCAAAGCTCTTCATCCTTCTGAGAATCTGTTACTGCATCTGTAAAATGGAAAGGAGAGAATTAAATGAGATTATCATCTATTAAGTGCCTAGAGGGCAGGCAGACAACAGATCTATTGGGTTGGCCAAAAGGATCATTAGGGGTTTTTTTTTTTTCTTTCTGTAAGATGACTCTAGTAGTGATTAGCTGTCTTCATTCAAAACAATTTTGCTAGGTTGTATTGTGACAGCTGTCATATCAGGGTTCATTAAAAAAAAACTATTAAAAAAAACTATCAAAATTAGTGAGTTGTGTGTTGTTTTCTTCAGTCGCTCAGTCATGTCTGACTCTTTGCAACCCCATGGACCGAAGCACGCCAGGCTTCCCTGTCCTTCACCATCTCCTGGAGCTTGCTCAGACTCTTGTCGATTGAGTCGGTGATGCCATCCAACCATCTCATCCTCTGTCGTCCCCTTCTCCTCCTGCCCTCAAACTTCCCCATCATCAGAGTCTTTTCTAATGAGTCAGTTCTTCACATCAGGTGGCCAAAGTATTGGCTTCTGTGTAGCCATTTTAATATTGAAGATGGAAGAAAAAGAGCAACATTGTTGGCATATTCTGCTTTATTATTTCAAAAAAGGTAAAAAAAAAAAAAAAGAAACTGAAACGCAATAAAAGATTTCTGCTGTGTATGGAGAAGGTGCTGTCAATCACGTCAAAACTGGTTTGCAAAATTTCGTACTGGAGATTTCTTGCTGGACCAGGTTCCACGGTCGGGCAGACCAGTTGAAGTTGATAGCGATCAAATTAAAACATTCATTGAAAACAATCAATTTTATACCTCATGGGAGATAGCCAAAATACTCAAAATATCCAAATCAAGCAGTGAAAATCATTTGCACCAGCTTATTACATTAATCGCTTTGATTTTGGTTTCTCCATAAGTTAATCGAGAGAAAAATCCTCCTTGACAGTATTTCCACATGCAATTCTCCACTTAAACATAACAAAAATGTTCTGTTTTTAAAACAAATTGTAACAGCCAATGAAAAGTGGATACTGTACAATAATGTGAAATGGAAAAGTGCACTGGGCAAGCAAAATGAACCACAGTCAACCACACCAAAGTCCAGTCTTCATCCAAAGAAGGTGATGCTGTATGTATGATGGAACTGGAAGGGAGTTCTCTATCAAGAGTTCCTTCTGGAAAACCAAACAATTAATTCCTATGATCTTCCATCGGGATACAGCAAGACTGCATGCTTCTTTGATGACCAGGTAAAAACTGTTGGAGCTTGGCTGGGAAGTTCTGATTCATTCACCGTATTCACTGGACATTGCAGCTTTGGATGTCCGTTTATTTTGGTCTTAGTGGAAAAAAAATTCAATTCCCTGAAAGACTGTAAAAGGCACCTGGAACAGTTCTTTGCTCAAAAGGATAAAAAGCTTGAGGAAGATGGAATTATGAAGTTGCCTGAAAATTGACAGAAGGAAAGAAATGGCAACCCACTCTAGTATCCTTGCCTGGAGAACTCCATGGACAGAGGAGCCTGGTGGGCTACAGTCCATGGGGTCACAAAGAACTGGACATGACTGAGTGACTAACACTTCAAGTTCAGTGGAACAAAACAGTGAAGACATTGCTCAATAAAGTTCTTGGTGAAAATTAAAACTATGTCTTAAATTTTTACTTGAAAAAAAGCAAAGAAATTTTTGGCCAACCCAATAG